CTAATTTTTTCATGACTTTGTTGATGGCACTAACAATAAACATGGGTCATGTGGTCCACAATTAGCAGATAAATTGTTTTTCCATTTCGGCAGTAGTCGGTTATTGGATTTGGATAAATAACAAATTATTCGTTGACAATTAGTATTAAAAAAATAAACAGATACATTCAAAATATCTCTAACTTGACATTCAGATACATTCAAAATATCACTAACATGACATCTTCCCTTATGTAACCAACAAATTGTCAAAAGCTGAGATTTTGAGCTAAGTTTCTGTGTCCTGAAGAAAAAACTTGAATTCATGAACACAAATCTAAACACAATCTTCAAATATCTATTATTACCAAAATGATTCAAAGACAATAAAGCTAACTATGGAAACACTTTTTTTTTTTTTTGTCAACATTTTATGGAAACACTTAAAAAGCTAATCTTGTTCATGAGATCTTCTCTGATGTAACCCACAAATTGTGTCAAAAGCTGAGTTTTTTAAAGAACAAGAACCAAATTATTGCAGCTTAATATTCAAGGACAAACCTTTTGAAGCAAGTCTTGGATCTCCTCGCTTACTTCAATCTGGTGTTGAGACAATCTCTCTCGCATTTCAGGACATGTTTTCTCTGCTGCTGCATAGATCTTTATAAGAAATGTCACAGTTTCAGAATCAAGAGGTCTCCATTTCGACAAGTTCCTGCAGAAGTTTTCTGCTCCTTCAACGTCTTTAGTTCTCTCAAAGTGAAGAAAGAACAAGCTGACTAGCTCTGAGCTCCAGTTCCAGTCGTCTTTGATCTCTTCGGCATTCGAAAACGCTGCTTTCAAATGCTTCATTACCAAATCCACTTTACCCTTCTCCAATAGATGGATCATCAAAAGCTGTCTAGCTTTGGAGAAAGGTCCTTTGGACTTTTTTATAGCACCATCAAGAACCATCTCTGCTTCTTCATACATATTCGCTTTTAAATACGTGTTAATCGCGAAGTTAACCAGCCTCATATCGTAAGCCCTGCATTTCGATTCCCACTCTGTGAAAATCTTCTTAAAACCGTCTATATCGCCAAGTTTACTCAGCGCTTGTATCATGACAAGATAGCTCATATTGTTGACCTCAGGACGAGCCTTGTTTAGCGATTCCCAAGCCCTATAAACCTCGGACGCTTTCGAAATTCCAGCGTACAAGCTAATGAGAAAATGGTGAGCATCGCGGTTATTAGGATTCATTTTCTCCTCCATAGATTTCAACGCCGATTCTGCTTTCTCGTAAAGACCAGCTTTAGTGAAGACTGCTGCTAGATTAGAGTAAGTGTTCCAATTGGTCGTAGCTTCACTGTCTTTGCCCATTTCAACTATAATCTTCTCTAATCCATCTAAGTCGTTCAAACTTCCACAACTCTGCATCCATATAGAGTAAGTAATCCAACAAGGAGATATACCCTTCTGTTTCATTGCGTCAACGAGCTCAGGTACTTTCTCGGGCTGACCTAACCGCATGTACATCGACATCATGTTATTGAAAGGTAACGTATTGTTAACAAATTTGAGCTCATCCATTTTCTCAAAATGAGCTTTTGCTTTCTCTTCTTTGAGTTCCACACAGTAACAGTTCATGAGTGACCCGTAAGTAGACTGATGATTCTTTGTAGATGGATCTAAGCTGTGAAAGTACCTTTCAGCTGCTTCTAATCCTTTTGTTTTTGCGATTAGATCCAAACGAATCGCGTGATCGGAGACAGAAAATCCCATTTTCCTCATCTCTATCCAATCAAAGATCTGAAATTTGTCATTTAAACACAAATCAAACACCAAAACTAGTGAAATCATAAACATAAAAAATGTCCTTTTTCTTCTCAAACATCAATAAACAATGAGTATAGCTCCAATTAAACCTTGAAATCACAAAACTTTTGACAATGATTCTGAATCTAAAACAAGCCCATTTCAATAGATGATGAAATTTCCAGTTTAAGAAAGAGATAAACGAACCTCAAGGGCGTGTTGATGACGACGGAATTTACGAAGATCCTTAGCGCAACGAAAGAGATCGAATTTTCTGACGGGAATACCCTCCATGATGAACTGATTCAACGTTTGTGCCACTGTTTCTCCGGTCACACTAAGCGTCGAAAGTTTCTTGAACATCTCTCTCTGCCTTGACGCCGCCGTCGGAGGAGAAACAGAGGATCCGACGCCATCCGTCGCCGCCGTCGTTGCCGGAATCGAAACAGAGGCTTCGACGCCGGAAGGCGTCGCCCGAGAGAAGACCGTTGCACAGAATCTCTTACCGAGACGAGAACCGGAAGCTATCAGATTACGGAAATTCATTTTTTTTTCACAAATTCGAGTTTCTTCTCTAACCTAACGAGGACTGAGAGTCTCTGAGCGGAGTGATGGTGTGGTTAGGGTTTAAGCACAAAACTTTATGTCGTTTGAACAAGCTAAAACCGGCGTGTAGTTTAAATTACATAATGACTTGTCGTCTAAACTAGCTAAAAACGGCATGTGGTTCACTTACACACGTCAAATTAGAAAACTTAGGTGATCAATTAGATGATCACTTGCTTTGCAATCA